AAAAGAATGAGAATAAACAAGACATTGCCAAAATTGATTATATAGTATTTGGTAGCAGAAATGTTTTGAAATTCACAACAATCATATCATACTATATTATATTATGTTAGGTTATGCTATGTTAGGTTATGCTATGTTGTGTTGTGTTGTGATCCATGGAGCCAGATTAAATTAATCAGTAAATTAGACTTCAGACATTGATCACCTGCAATTTTTTTGTTGTAAAATTCTGACAAAACTGAAGATGTACATGACCCTAAACGCCTCAGAGATACAGCACCTCATAAAATCTGCAAGCAGCAATAAAGGGCTGTCGAACCTTTGTGCACATTGAGGAGGGGCGCTGATGATGTTCTCTTGTATGAATCAAACACGCACATGTAGGTGGAGCACGTGGATTCTACTTTCGAAAACAGTGATGCTCTGTAAAGGGCGAACAAGATCTTGTTTAACATTTCACCTATAGTGACAACTGAAAGGAAAGACAGAGACAAAGATAGTAACAATATCAGAAATCCCATTTGCTGCTGACTAAATTAACATAATTCAACATATGAACTTGCACCATAAACACATGGCAAAGAACTGGGAGAAACTGATTGAATAAAAAAATGACTTCATTTGGGAATGATACTGAAGCCTGGTATTAAACCAGCCTCTGGGTAAAGACTAGTACTGATAAGCTCCAACCTTACTTCCTCTTGTTCCCCTCCTCTCTCTCTCTCTCTCTCTCTCTCTCTCTCTCTCACACACACACACACACACACACACACATGCAAGAACACTGCACTCTGCTGGAAGATAGTAGTACATATAGTAGTACAATATTATTTATTTCACACAAACTTTTAACTTTGACTCAAAAGATTTTCAGGTCAAATTTCAAAATGATTTCATACATCAAGAACTACTTTGTTTGTAGGGGGTAGAAGTTAGGACTTTTGCCAGACTGAATGCTAAACAACTCCATGTGTTATCCAGGATCATGTCCTGGAAAATAGATTACAGTGCAGGTCCTGAGCCTACATCAAAAAATTGGATTGAAGTTGCTATCAACGTGAAAGGCAGATGCCATAAGTTAAAACACACCTGCCTTTGTTAAAAAAAACTTTAACAAATAAAAACAGATCTTCTGCATTTATGGGCACTATGAAATGCAAACATCAAAATCTCTATTTGTCAATACAATTGTATTAAAATAGCCTATATTCACAAATCACGAGGGGCCTCACAAGGCTTAACAAGGTGTAACATCCTCTGACCTTAACTACCAGAGTGAGGAAAACAGGCAGAAACCTCAGAGAGAGTCACAAGTGAGGGATCAGACGGACAGATCACTATTTACAACATTCAACATACAACAAAAACATAAAGGGACAGGTGTATCACTGTATTTATACAAAAAGAAAACGTCCTTTTCAGTGTTGCAATTTGATTCTGGCATCCTATGGAACATTCAGGTCAAGGATGCTCATAGTTCTTATAAAGCCAAGGCTAAATGTCCTGAATTTAGGCTTTAAGAACGACAGACTAAGTGCATCCATGTTCACATAATACAAATCACAATGTATATTGTATTTATATATTTTTTGTTTAGTTTCTATTTATGCCACATCTCCCCAAGCAGTTATTACAGATGGCTCATGTGTGAGACTGTGTATTACAGTGAGAATATAATGCTGTCTCCACAATTACAAGATCGTGATAAATGGTCTGATGAGTGATTTAACGATGGTGAACCTGACAGTCAGAACGCGGGTTGAATTTCCCCCCTGTTGTGATGACGTCTAATGTCTGCGCCACGTTGTACCCACGTGTGGACGTCTCTTTTTTGCAGCGGCAGCAAAACATCCGCAGTGACGCTGGTATCAGTGCGCACGAAGAAAACTTTGGATTTCTTTTCTCTCTGACATTAAACCATCCCGAAGAACAAGCTGCGAAGGTTTCTACCACCAGAGTCACTTTTTCTAGACCATGCCCCACGACCCCGACCCTCCTCCGGCTAAAAGATTCAAGCCGGGGTCAGTGTTCTTCCGTCTGGATAAGAACAAGCCTGGAATGCTGCTTCCTAGAAAGGGCAATGCGACCACTCCGATAGAAGTCCAGAGGAAACAGCTTCCGATCTACCAGGCGAAACCTCAGCTGCTGAACCAACTGAGGCAGCTGCACAATGTTATTCTGATCGGTAATAACCAGACATGGTGGCTGTTTGTGATCATCACTACTTTTCTCGTTGTCAGCCTCTGCACCTCATGTTCGTGTTAATCCACTTTTCAGTGTGTTACACCAGCAGTGCCTTGTTTTGACTCAGCCTCATTCCTCTCGCATACACACATCAGGTGAGACCGGATCAGGGAAGACCACTCAGATCCCCCAGTATCTGTACGAGGCTGGCATCGGGCGACAGGGCATGGTCGCCATCACCCAGCCTCGCCGGGTGGCTGCCATCTCGCTGGCAGGAAGGGTGGCCGAGGAGAAGAGGACTCAGCTCGGCAAGCTGGTACGAACCGGAGACAGGTGTTCCACTGCTTAGTGTATACTTAAACACAATGATGCACAATAATAAACATCTCTCTGTGTGGAGGAGAAAAGGTAGCATGCATCTTTCTCTTGATACATCCTTGGAATCTCTGTATATCTGTATTTAGATAGAGCTTTACTGTTGATGACCACTCAAAGCTTTGCCATTCACACATCTGTGCATCTATGTGCAGCACTCTCTCTATCACACATCGTTTATACGCTGCGGGCACAGCCATCAGGGGCAACTTGTGGTTCAGTATCTTGCCCAAGGACATTTTGGCGTGCAGCTTGGGGGAGACAGGGATCGAACCACTTGCTACACACCTCCTGAGGCACAGACGTGACATTCGTTTTGGTTTATTTTTGTGTATCAGTTGTAGCGCCACACCACCAGTTATCAGTGTTTGTGAACGTGTCTACTCTGTGGAGTGTCTAAACCCGGGCCCACCTGCCGCATCCCACAGTCTTGCCAGACAGTTTTTTACATGGTGGGAAAATCTCAACTGTGGCATCTAATATCAGTAGATTCAAGGTGTCTTTATTATCCTTGAGAGGCAGTTAGTAGAACAGCCCTCAGTTCTGATCAGACCACATCAATAAATACAGATGCATCACATTGAGTCATTTAAAAAGCCGATGGCAGCGGGGATGAATGACAAGACGAACAAGTGCAACAGTGTTAAGTCTCACTGACTCAAACTTCTCCTCAGGTTGGCTACACGGTGCGATTTGAGGATGTCACCTCCTCCGAGACAAAGCTGAAGTTCATGACAGACGGCATGCTGCTGCGTGAGGCCATCGGAGACCCGTTACTGCTGCGCTACACCGTGGTGGTCCTGGATGAAGCCCACGAGCGCACCGTGCACACTGATGTGCTGTTCGGCGTGGTTAAGACTGCTCAGCGCAGGCGGAGAGAACTCAATAAGATTCCCTTGAAGGTAGGAGAACAGTTGGAGCTGCCCTGGGTTGAATAAAGTTTTACTTTCGTCGTCAACACTCAACAAAATCTTGCTCTACATTTTTATATTCAAGCTCATTGATCTCTTTTTACTTTTTTCTCGTTTTTCCTGCACAGGTCATAGTGATGTCGGCCACTATGGACGTAGATTTGTTCTCTGAATACTTCAACAAGTCACCAGTGCTGTACCTGGAGGGAAGGCAGCATCCCATTCAGATCTACTACACCAAGCATCCCCAGTCAGACTACCTGCAGGCTGCACTCGTGTCTGTGTTCCAGATCCATCAGGTAGTTGTCAACAATTAACCTTCAGCCAATCTGTCCATCCCATTCTAGTGTACGCAATATCTCAAGAATTTCTTAAAGTTCAATTGGACTAAAAGATGGACTGATCAGATTTTGGTGTGCATCTCATAAAACCTATCTTTGCCTCGTGAACGTGTTTTCTTTACAACTCTTACGGTGCACCATTCACACCAAACACAACACAAATATTTCACGCTGTGAGGTTATTTAAAAAGTCGATGCAAAAATGTATTTATTAATCACTGATATCTAGAGTTCTGTTTTCAGTTTTTACAGTATCATGTGTTTCTTACCGTATTATAAGATAGCAAACAGTGAGAGGACATTTTCCTTGGTGCACGTTCATGTACTGTGATGACTCTTCGTGACACTGGAACAGAACGTGGTCTCGTTGTGTGCACGCAGGAGGCGCCTCCGTCCCATGACATTTTAGTCTTCATGACGGGTCAAGAGGAAATCGAGGCCCTGGCGAGGACTTGCCGGGACATCGCCAAGCATCTTCCTGACGGCTGCGGTCACATGGTAGTTATCCCGTTGTACGCATCGCTGCCCCCAGCACAACAGCTCAGGGTCTTCCAGCCAGCTCCCAAGGTAAAGACAACAACAAACAGAGTTCTGTGAATAAACAGTCACTTTGGTTTTGGACAGAATGTGTGAAATCTGTGTGCTGCTGTTCTCTAATGTGTTAATCTTTAGGATACGTCTGTTTTGGCTTCTTTACAGTAGGAGAGCCACCGAATAGTCAGTTTCTTGTCATTGTGAAGTTGTGTATCATTGTCTCATTATTTTCTATTGTCACACAAAATGTTGGTTCTCTTTACTTTCATTCAGGGTTGTAGGAAAGTCATCCTCTCAACCAACATCGCTGAGACGTCAGTTACAATCTCTGGGATTAAATATGTCATAGACACAGGGATGGTGAAGGCCAAACGCTTTAATCCTGGTGAGAGGATTCAGTCTACACACACACAACCACAC